CCGGCTGGAGTGCTACCGGCCCCACACGGACCTGAGCCGCGACCACGCGGGCTGCAGCCTGCAACACATCAGGGACCCGGAGAACGCGGACGCGAAAGCGCCGCCGCTCAGCACTCCCGAAGAAACACGGAGTCCGCAGAGGCACAGGCGCCGCCCCAGCGCGCACAGCTCCACTCAGCGGCTTCCTTCCTACAACACACGTAGGAATGGGAGCCGAGGACTTGATGCTTGAGGACTTCCTCTAGCATAAAAGATGGAAAGAAAACACACACAGAAGCAAGGGACCAAAGGAACAGAAAAGAAGCAGAGATCATAGGAGAACTGCGAATAAATACCTGATAATATCTTCCAAAGGATTAGAGAAGACATAACATTCATTAAGAATGCACAGATAGATGTGTATATATATACGTGTATGTGTGTATGTATATGTGTGTATATATATGCTTATGTGTGTGCGTATACGTGTATTAACTGTAGAAGATAAAGGTAGACACTAGTAAAAGTGGTAAGAGCAGATTTACAATGTACTATTGTAATAGGGAAGAAGGTACCTCGTGAACAGGACTGAACTTTGTGCAGAAGTGACGGTGTTTCAGAGGAGGAGAGAAGGGAGTATGAAGGGGATGAGCAGGAACTCAGTAGTCAGGAAAGTGAAACTTGTGAAAGGTGGGTCAATGTAGATACGGTTAGGCGACAGTGCCTATTAGATGACTGTTAGGGAGTCAGGGTCCTATCCTCCCACGGGAACTGGGAGATAGGCCCTTTGTTCCTGGTGATTGCATGTTGGAGGAATGGCTTTCAGGTTCTTGAGAAGGACACTCCTGATGTGTAGGAGACATTACATCCCAGAGAGAGGAAGGATTCACAATTATTTAGTTTTTTTTTTTTGTTGTTAACTCTTTAAGAAAGGGACATCAGGGGCTGCTTGTAAGGTGTTGCCAATAGCGAACAGTGAGTTCTTTTGGCAGCTTTCCAAGGCAGACACTTTAGGGGGTCTGGGGTCATCCTATGGATGCAGCTTTGAGTAGTTAAAAATTGTGTGTTTAGGCCGCGTGCGGTGGCTCACGCTTGTAATCCCAGCACTTTGGGAGGCCAAAGCAGGTGGATCACGAGGTCAGGAATTCAAGATCAGCCTGGCTAAGATGGTGAAACCCCGTCTCTACCAAAAATAGAAAAAATTAGCTGGGCGTGGTGATGGGCGCCTGTAATTCCATCTACTCGGGAGGCTGAGGCAGAGAATTGCTTAACCCGGGAGGCGGAGGTTGCAGTGAGGCGAGATCACACCACTGTACTCCAGCCTGGGCGACAGAGCGAAACTCCCATCTCAAAAAAAAAAAAGAAAAGAAAAAGAAACAAACTATGTGTTTAAGCCTTTTAATATGGGCGAAGAATGAACCATACCCTTTTTTGCTGAAGTCTGTAGATTTCATAGGCCGAGGTGGAGGCCTAGTTGAAAAGGGGGCTCAGGGAAGCCTGGCTAGAGCTTGGTCAAGGAGGGGATCTTCATCAGTCTGTATGTATATACACCGCATGTGGACATGCATAGACACATGTATAGTGGAGGCTGTCTTACGAGGATTCAGCACAACTCAAGTCCCCTAATGGGAACAGACTTGGGGAGGTCACTCTTGAGGCTTTTTGTGGTATTGTGGCTACTGGGAGACCTGAGGAGGGTTCTGGCCACTAGCAGACTCATTTCATTCACCCCTTGGAATCTGCTCAGGCCTTGGACTTCAGTATAATAGTAACTTCACCCCCCAATGATCCTCCATGTTCCTTGCTGATGCTGTGATTGCTCCTCCAAGTTCTCCACCTATGTCCATCTGAGCACTTGGTATTTCTACTCTAGTGTAAGAAGGTCCTGGTCCCAAGTCTCCTCCCAAACATTTATTCCAATTGATCATCCAGATGCCCCTCCTTTGCCATCCCTCTTTGTTCCAGCAAAGAACACCACCCCTCAGGGAGATACAGTGGACTCCTTGTCCTCATCCTGACTCCCCTTTTCTCTGGTACTCACAGGCCTCGGTGAGTCTCTCGGTCTCTGGCTGCAGCACAGGTCCTGGACTTGAGCGCATCTCTCCATCCCCACCTCCACTACTCCCCTGGTCCAACTGTCGCCATTCTCACCCTCGAATCACTGTCACAGCCTCCCAGCTTGTATCCCTGCTTTACCATGATCCCTGCAGGCTGCCTCTGAACTCTTACATTGAAATGAAACTCTTACTGTGGGGAGAACCCCTCCATCCTCAGACCCCTGGTACCCTTCACTCACTTCCCACTCTGGCCATCGTTCAGTGAGTTCAGGCCACTCTGGCCTCTGCATGGTCCTCACGCCCACCAGACTTGTGCCCCCTTCAGGGCTATTGTCAGTTCCACCCCCTTTTCCTACAGAGTTCTCCATGTCTTCATTCTTCAGGTGCTCCCTCCCGACAGAGGCCTTGCTGACCACCCCTGCCAAGATTGCCCCACTCTCCCACGTGTCACTCCCCTCCCTGCCCTCTTGATTTTTCTCCATAAAACTGGCACTTCCTTACATGCTGTGTTGTGTGTTTAATTATATTGTTTAATTATATCTGCCTTCCTTAAACGAGAGCAACATGAAGACAGGGACTTTCTTTTTTTTTTTTTTTTGAGACGGAGTCTCGCTCTCTAGCCCAGGCTGGAGTGCAGTGGCCGGATCTCAGCTCACTGCAAGCTCCGCCTCCCGGGTTCACGCCATTCTCCGGCCTCAGCCTCCCGAGTAGCTGGGACTACAGGCGCCCGCCACCTCGCCCGGCTAGTTTTTTGTATTTCTTAGTAGAGACGGGGTTTCACCATGTTAGCCAGGATGGTCTCGATCTCCTGACCTCGTGATCCACCCGTCTCGGCCTCCCAAAGTGCTGGGATTACAGGCTTGAGCCACCGCGCCCGGCCGAAGACAGGGACTTTCTAATCTTCATTGCTATCTCCAACCAAAGCACTTGTTTTTTTGTTTGTTTGTTTTTTGAGATGGAGTCTCGCTTTGTCTACCAGGCTGGAGTGCAGTGGCACGATCTAGGCTCACTGAAACCTCTGCTGCCCGGGTTGAAGCGATTCTCTTGCCTCAGCTTCTCAAGTAGCTGGGATTACAGGTGCCTGCCACCATACACAGCTAATTTTTGTATTTTTAGTAGAGACAGGGTTTCACCATGTTTGCCATGCTGCTCTTGAACTGCTGACCTCAGGTGATCCACCTACTTCAGCTTCCCAAAGTGCTGGGGTTAGAGGTGTGAGCCACTGCACCTGGCCAAACCAAAGCACGTCTGCTGCTGCTGTCCCTGTCATTGATCTATGTGACTTCCCCTCCACCACAGTTATTCAAAAATGTCTCTTGCTGCTTCCCTT